CATTCATTAATGTAATCTTGAGGGGTAGGCTTTACTTGGTTTGGCTGTAAAGAGTTTTTTTTTCTTGTTTGATTTACTACCAAATTGGTTAGAGAGAAAGGAGAGAACCGGGCTTACAAGGAGAAGAGCTTGCTTGTTAAAGGTACTTAAAAGAGGGTGGCTTTAATACCCAAGTAGCATTTTTTACATATTAACCCTTTGTCTTCGTCCTGTTTGTCAATGAAATTTATTCAGTACTTACCATTCCGCGTGCTATTTGCCACGCAAAACAAAGAAGGTCCTTTGCAACAAAGTCTTCGTCCTGTTGCACATCGTCATGGTCAGTATTCTGTGGGACTTGACAGGACTTCGTACTTTCTTTCTCGTCAGGTTTGATTTCCTCTACCACGTTTTCCTGGGTAACAGTCTCATCGTTAAGCGTTGAACATGTGGAGTGTAACTTTTTGTTGTCGATATCATTCACGAATAGTTTTCCGCAGTTCATTAATTCTTTGCTGTCGTCCTCATCTCCCACTAACAGTGCTTTTGATTCATCATCGATGCTAAAGCGCAAATCATTAGCATCCAGATTCAAGCGATTTCCTTCGTTGAAGTAATTCCTTTGATAGCTTTTCTACGGGAGAGCAATAGAAATAGAGGGATACTGCTGCATTTCATGAGAAATTACATATATGTTTAGTGAGTGAATGACTGGAGGAGCGACAAGGATGATTTAAAGATAAAGGTAAAGGTAAACTTTATTTGGCCAGGGTGACCCATTCAGCGACGAGGCTGATATCCAGAGGGGCCCTGGACTAAAAATCTGATAATAATTAAAAATACAAGAAATCGTGCTAATTTAAAAATACAAGATAAAATTTAAAAAATACAAGATATAAATTTAAAAATACAAGCAATAATTAAAAGTATAGAGTCTTCTCTATACTTTTAATAAGTATTAATTATTAATCATAGAGAATTCTTCCGCTATGATTTATTTCAGCTCCCTCGGGACGTAGATTTGATTTTGGAAGCTCGAGGGAAAGCAGTAATAGAAAGAGGTGACTAATTTCTTCATACTGTCCGGTATTTTTGTGTCTGCGCAAGCTGTAGATCTTCTTTAATGGTAAATTATTTCAGCTCTCTGAGCCCTGAACAAAACTCTGAATTCCGAGCCACGGGTGTAAAATTGGTGGTGGAAGTAGCCGCTTATTATGTCACAAAGCGTTTGTTAAAACTACTACACGGGCCGACGGGTGCTATTTAACAGTAAGAGAGAATTAAACTAAATAGCTTCAGAACACGATGAGTAATAATAGAAGCATTTACCGATGAATTAAGATGTATTACCCATATCACTCGAACATTTCTCCCCAAAACCGACTATATGTAGAAGGCCATGGGTGTTCGATTTTCGTTGGGGACTCTCAGTTTTCTTTTGTCCAAGGTTCGTTGAAACTAAATTACGCCTTTGTCTGAGCATGTGCCCTTCACATAAAGTTCTAATTAGTGTAGAATCTACCTGTATTCTCTTGTTTCTGAGCCAGTGTTGTAGGTCTCCGTATGGAACATACTCTAACATTAGAAAGATGGGATCAGAGTGAACCCAACAGCCCAGCATGCTGACAATATTCTTGTGTGAACCGATAGCTTTCATGATTTCAATTTCCTCAAGAAACTGGCTCCTGGCTTCCTCGTCTGTAGTGTCTAAAGGCAAATTGCAATAGTATAATAGGCATCCGTTAGACGAGGTCCATGCACAGTATATATATTTCGCAAATAACGTTGACAAAGAGGATACACAATACCGCTTTGAAAATCAAGTTTAGTTAACAACAACAACAACAACAACAACAATAATAATAATAATAATAATAGTAATAATAATTTTATTACTTATAATTTTATTAATTATAATTCATTTGGCACGTGGATAACTAGTGCTAGTCTAGGCCAGCCAGTCTATCAAAATCTCATACTATTACAAACCTAATCATAACAGTTATAATTTCCTCAAATGTGATTGGCGTATGGTTGGTTTGTAGTGTCACGCCATCAAAAATAAAAATCGTAACCATTCAATAAATTAAATCAAGAAGCTGGGATATAAAAGATGATTGATATAGAAACAACCTCGCCGAGATTTAAGTCTGTGCGGTTTTTTATTCGCGCTTTATTCGGAAAAGTGTTTCACTCAAATTTATAGAGTTTTGTATGGAGTCGCCATGTTTGTGCCCTTCGAAGGGACACAAACATGGCGTACGTGAAGTAACAGAAACGTCCGTAATTGAATTTTGTCATTGAAACGAAAAGTTAGCACTCTAGAGCTCCAATACATTGAATATAATAATTTTTCTAGAGCAAGAACTGTTTAGTCAGCAAAACTGGCGCAATAACTCATATTTGACCTACTCGAGAGCCTTTTTGTCCTTATTGGCCCCATGATTTTAATATCACGCAACGCATAAACTTAGAAATTCAGACGTGCTCTATTAAATAATGAGGTACTCCGTCAGGCTTAAACGGTGCAAAACGTCAAGTTATTAGAGGTTCTTACATCTGATGAAACTAAAACTTCAGAAGGATTGGTAATTTCTTATGTTGGAAAATGATGACGTCGCATGAAGACCGACAATAAACTTCTGTATTTTACACTGATTAATCTGCAAAGTTGTAATCGGACACGGACAGTTGGCTGTAAATCGGATACCTGTTGTCTGACAGTTACATGAGCCAATCATTTTAAGTCCTTTTCACTAAATCCACCAATCACAACATTGATTGCAATCACTATAGAAACCAATTCAAATGAGTGACTTTGTAAAATTGTGGAGATTTATTTCCGGTGACTGTTTTCAAAGAAACTTAACAGCGATTTTTCAAGCTATTTTCTATATTTGAAATTATCATATTTAAAAATGACTACTAAAAGCTGCTTTTAAATGAAACTTTGACTTTTTTGGGAAATTGTAATGGTTATGATTAATTGGTAAAAGGACATCGTGTCGTCTTATTCTCTCTTACAGACCGAACTGGACTCCATTCAGTCTTGTTACCATTTTTTCTTATTTATAAATACATGAAAATAGGAAAATTAACAGAGTCTATTAACAGATCTGTGGTAATCAATCAATCAATCAATCAGTCTGTCAGCCAGTCAGTCTTTTTTCCACAGGTTCTCTATGAGCTAGAGAGCTCATTCAAAATACCTTCAAATACAATCCAACATTCCTAAATACTGACTCAGAAGTAACCTGAGAATCACTTACCCGCTAAAACTTTAATNTTCTCGGTGTTTGGTAATGTGGTCAAATACGGTCTTTCGTCTTTGCTAAATTACTAATCAAACTTACACATCGCTTTTCGTGGTGTATTCACTGTTGTACAGTGCTTCTGGTGCCATCCATTTGACCGGTATCTTTTTCCCTTTCTTTAGTTTGTAAACGCTTTCTTGGGTTTGTCGCATCAATCCAAAATCTGAGATTTTTACAACTTTGTCCTCGCCAAGAAGAACATTACGAGCCGCCAAATCTCGATGTACAAAGCCGTTGCTTGATAAGAAACCCTTTAGCAGTTTGTTTAAAGGAAGGAGACAGAGAGAAATATGTAGCGAGATCAGTACTTGTTAAACATACAGGCTGCTTGCGCGCGCAGGCTTCCAGCCAAACCAAGTGAAGCGTACCATCAGGATTACATTAATGAGTTGACTATTTGAATATTGAACCCGTTAGTAGTTGCAAGAATGCAATAATGAAGTGATTATTTGAATATTGAACCCACTAATCATTCCAAGAATACAGCTAACTGGTTCAATATTCATATAATCCATTCATTAATGTAATCTCGAGGGATAAGCTTTACCTGGTTTGGCTGTAAAGAGGTTTTTTTTTCTTGTTTGATTTACTACCAAATTGGTTAGAGAGAATGGAGAGAACCGGCCTTACAGGGAGAAGAGCATGTTTGTTAAAGGTACTTAAAAGAGGGTGGCGTTAATACCCAAGTAGCATTTTTTACATGTTAACCCTTTGTCTTCGTCCTGTTTGTCAATGAAATTTATTCAGTACTTACCATTCCGCGTGCTATTTGCCACGCAAAACAAAGAAGGTCCTTTGCAACAAAGTCTTCGTTCTGTTGTATATCGTCATTGTCAGTATTCTGTGGGACTTGACAGGACTTCGTACTTTCTTTCTCGTCTGGTTTGATTTCCTCTACCGCGTTTTCCTGGGTAACAGTCTCATCGTTAAGCGTCGAACAGGTGGAGTGTAACCCTTTGTTGTCGATACCATCCACGGGTAGTTTTCCGCAGGTCATTAATTCCTTGCTCTCTTCCTTATCTCCCATCAACAGTGCTTTTGATTCATCATCAATGCTAAAGTGCAAATCATTAGCATCCAGATTCAAGAGATTTCTTTCGTTGTAGTAATTCTTTTGATAGCTTTTCTACGGGAGAGCAAAAATACAAAAATAAAAAAATAAAGAAATAGAGGGATACTAACTGCTGCATTTTACGAGAAATTACATATATGTTTAGTGAGTGAATGACTGGAGGAGCGTAACGGATGATTTTTTCATCATGATTTATTTTAGTGCCTTGGGACGCAATTTGATTTTCCAAGCTCGAGGAAAAGTAATTATATAAAGAGGTGCATGACTAATTTCTTCATACTGTCCGGTATTTTTGTGTCTTCCCAAGCTGTAGATCTTCTTTAACGGTAAATTATTTCAGCTCGCGGCCCTGAGCCCTGAACAAAACTGAATTCCGAGCCATGGGTGTAATATTGGTGGTGGGAGTAGCCGCTCATTCTATCATGAGGCGTTTCTTAGAACTGTTATAGGAGCGATTTTTTACTGTGAGAGAGAATCAAACTAAATAGCTTCAGAACATGATGGGTAATAATAGACGCACTTACTGATGATTTAAGATGCATCACCTGTAGTCTGCGAGCAGGCTCACCTTTGAGTGACACACGCGAGCGGCGAAGAGCAAAGCGATCTGGCGGGAAAGAGTCTGGTGAGAGGCGCCAACTTTCTCGTCTCGCGGATTCGCGGCTCGATTTTGCGCTACGCCGCGCGCGCTTGTGCTTCGCAGGCTATATCACCTGTATCACTCGAACACTTCCCTCCCAAACCGACTTGTCAGCCAGTGGTTAGAGTGTCGAATTCAATGTCCGCGCGATCGACTATATGTAGAAAGTAATGGGTGTTCGATTTTCGTTAGGGTCTCTCAGTTTTCTTTTGTCCAAGGCTCATGAAAACTCAATTACGTCTTTGTCTTAGCATGTTCCCTTCACATTAAGTTCTAATTAGTGTAGAATCTACCTGTATTCTCTTGTTTCTGAGCCAGTGTTGTAGGTCTCCATATGGAACATACTCTAACATTAGAAAGATGGGATCGGAGTGAACCCAACAGCCCAGCATGCTGACAATATTCTTGTGTGAACCGATAGCTTTCATGATTTCAATTTCCTCAAGAAACTGGCTCCTGGCTTCCTCGTCTGTAGTGTCTAAAGACAAATTGCAATAGTATAGTAGATATCCGTGACACAAGGTCTATGTACGGTATATATATTGCGGAAATAACGTTGGCATGGAGGATACACAATACCGCTTTGAAAATCAAGTTTACTTGCTAATTCATTTGTCAACTTACATTGTTACAATTGGCCTGGCCCGTGGATAACTAGTGCCAGTATAGGCGGGCCAGTCTATCATCATCTAATACTTTTACAAACCTAATCATAACAGTTACAATTTCCTCGAATGTGATTCACTGTGTATGACTGGTTTGCAGTGTCACGTAATCAAAAATAAAAATCGCAACCATTCAATAAATTAAGTCAAGAAGCTGGGATATAGAAGATGATTGATATATAAACAACCTCCCCAAGATTTAAGTCTGTGCGGTTTTTATTCGCGCGTTATTCGGAAAAGTGTTTCACTCAAATTTATAGAGCTTTGTATAGAATCGCCGTGTTTGTGCCCCTCGGAGGGACACAAACGTGGCGTCCGTGAAGTAACAGAAACGTCCGCCATTGAGTTTTGCCATTGAAACGAAAAGTTTTTACTCTAGAACTCCGATACATTGAATATAATACTTCTTCTAGAGCAAGAACTGTTTAGTTAGCAAAAACTCGAACGATAACTCATCTTTTGACCTACTCGAGAGCCTTTTCGGGCCGCCATTTTAATGTCACGCAAAGCATAAACTTGGAAACGATTCAGACGTGCTCTAATACATAATGAGGAACCCTGTCGGACTTAAACGTTGCAAAACGTCAAGTTATTAGAAGGTCTTACATCTGATGAAACTAAGACTTCAGAGGGATTGGTTTTCTTATTTTGAAAAAAGATGACGTCACATGAAAACCTGCATTAAACTTCTATATTTTGCACTAATTAATCTGCGAAGTTGTAATCGTACACAGACAGTTGGCTGTAAATCGGACACCTGTTGTCAGACAGTGACACGAGCCAATCATTTTATGTCCTCTTCACTAAGTCCGCTGATCACAACATTCATTGCAATCGCTATAGAAATTCAAATGAGTGACTGTAAAATTGTGGAGATTTATCGCCTGTGACTGTTTTCAAACAAACTTAACAACGATTTTTCAAGCAATTTTCTATATTTGAAATTACGATATTTAAAAATGACTACTAAAAGCTGTTTTCAAATGAAACTAACTTTTTTGGGAAATTGTAATGGTTATGATTGATTGGTAAAAGGACATGGTGTCGTCTTCTCTCTTAAAGACCGAAATGGAGTCCATTCAGTCCTGTCACCATTTTTTCTTATTTATAAGTACATGATAACAGGGAAATTAACAAAAGGTCTATTAACAGATCCGTGGTAATCAATCAATCAATCAATCAATCAATTAATCAATCAATCAATCAATCAATCAATCTGTCAGTCGGTCAGTCAGTCTTTTTTTCCAGAGGCTCTCTATGAGCTAGAGAGCTCATTCTAAATACCTTCAAATATAATCAAACATTCCTAAATGCTAATTCAGAAGTAACCTGAGAATCACTTACCCCCTAAAACTTTAATAGCTACTGTTCGGCCTTCTTTGAAGTCGACGGTCTGTGTTCTGGGTTTGTAAAACACTTCAATTCCAGGGGATTCTTTGAACGTGCCTCTTAACACTTTACCAAATGCCCCACGACCAATCTCTTCCTCAAAGACAACCTGCTCGGGTAGAACTTCCCATTGCCAAAGAGGGATAATGGAGGACTTGGATCTGAATTAAAGAGAAATCACCTGTCTCAATGCCTGACTGCCTTTTGCGCTTACTACGAGTTTCGCCGAAATATCAGCAAAATCTCCAGCGTTTAAATTAAAAAACCGGGGGAACAACTGACAAGAGCTGTCGCCCTATCTTGGTCTTTGATGCTCCATGTAAACTTTCACCAACACTTATCATTAAAAAAGAATTGGTTCGTCTTAGGGTGTTTATACTAGAGCCACGTTTCTAAAATGGTTCTAAAGCTATTGGTTATTTTTCAAACTTCGTTCAAGGATGCCATTCTCTTTTACATGAATCTCCTCCGGGCTACACGTGGGGTATCGAAGAACGAACTTTTTACAACTCACCGCTGGGAGTCCGTGTTTTAAACATAGCATAGCATAGCATATGTGGCGTTTCACGTTTCACGTTTCAGTACGATATCAATGTCAGACCAATTGCAGTACATGATCATCTGCATGCGTTGACGTTTTATATATATATCTATATATATAAAAAACTGGTAAAAAAGAGACCGAAAATGGACTACAAAAATATGTAAAACTTTATAAAACGTTTCGGTCTCTCGACGTTCGTCAGTTACTTAACTGATTCCCAGTTCAAACCTCGCAGCATAAACGAACGTAGAAAGTTAAAAAATTGTGGGGACGGACAACTTCTGACGTAAAAAAGATTAAAAAATTTAATAAAAACGTTTCGGTCAGAGACCTTCTTCAGTTATTACAACTTTTGAATAAAAACGAGCTTTAAATAAGATTAAGGTGCTAGTGATTAATTACAAGTGACAACTAACAAATGTACAAAATTACGTGAAAGAGCAGAAAGTGCATGGTGCTAATTAACAAAGGACAAAAAACAAAATCAACAAAGCGAAAAATATTGAATGAATCGAAAACAAGCTGCTATGAAAATAATCGGCAGAGTATGAGAGATAAAAACTAAAAACTAAAAAACCAAACTGGCTAAAACAAATAAAATAACCGAAGAGGCAACGCGGCA